GGGGGGGGTGGCCACCACACACACTTCAGCAAATGGGGGAATGTGTGTGGTGTAGGTGTGGCTGCGTCTGGCTGACAAGGTGGTCGAGGAGGAGCACCTCATCTAGACACCACCAGGCCCACAGGCGGCTTTCCTCGTGTCTGCGTGTGTGTGTTATGTGTCTGTGTGCATGAGAGTGTGTGTGCCTTTCTCCCTCTTTCTCCCGTGTGGTTCACCGTTGGTTGGCTGGCCCTGACCAAGTCAGAGGCGTCTCTTTTTGCTGACAGACACAGAGAGAGAGAGAGAGAGAGAGACCGACGGACTCAGACAAATTGAGCAATCGGGGCCTTTTGTGCGTGGGTGAGAGAGAGTGTGAGAGAGAGAGTGTGTGTTTGTGCGTGGACGAGAGGGGCTTCCCTACCCCGACGCCCCCGCACCAGACAGACGATCAGAAGAGCAGAAAAGAGAATGGACAAGAAAGGTTTTTTGTGGCTGGCGTGATGCACTTTGGTCGCAGGGCACATGAGCTTGTCTGTGTGTATGAGTGTGTCCTGTCGGGTAGCTCTCTGTTTCTTTCTCTCTCTCTTTGCCTGCCCGTCTGCTGACCGAATGCAGGCCGACCAGGTGAAACTGTGTCGGCTTTCTTTGCACTTGGTTTCTGGGTGGGAACGGCAAAGAGAGAGAGAGAGAGAGAGGGAGGGTGCGTGGTGAGCGCGAGAGTGGGGTTGGTGAGCGGACAGTTTTCTTGGGACCTTCCGTGCACAGGCAGAATGCATGCGCGCGATAAATCGAACCATGTCGCAGCCACGCGCAGGCACGAGAGCGTCCTTGACTCACAGACACCCACACGCACACACCGCACCCTCAGACCATTAGCTACGGCCCGTCCTTGGACAGAGTTGGGTGTTGCCTCTTGAGCTGCTCGAAGATGAGCATCCGCCACAGCTTGACGATGAAGCCCTCGGCCTCCTGGTCGAGGAAGACGCCCACGGTGGCGAGGAGGTCGAGGGGGGAGCACCGCTTGTTGAGCTCCGAGACCACAAAGGCGCAGACCTCCTCCTCCTCACCCCCTGCAGCCACACGCAGATCTCTCTCCATCCATCCATCCATCCAGCCAGCCAGCCATCGATATCTCTCTGTGGGAGTGGGTGGGGGGAAAAAATGAGGATGGGACGTACCGAGCAGCTCGATGACTTTCTTCTTGATCCACGGCTTGAGTGACGCCTCCACAACAGCAGCCTACAGACACACACATGATGGCCTCAGAGGGAATGAATGGGCACATCATCAACCAGCGGCTTACGTGTTCGATGACGGGCCACTCGATGGGGTAGTTGAACAGCTCGTCACGCTCCGACGGAATCCTGTGCCAACCAACGAGCGAAGGCCAGCAGAGGTGTGTGTGTATGTGTTGCCCATTTATGTGCTGTGGGTCATACTTACTGCTGGACAATCTGCTGCACGATCTCCAGGCGCTTCTTCCGAACCTCCCTGACACAAACAGACAGACAGACAGACAGACAGATGGCGCCCCATCCCGTGAGTGTCGTTCCCGCCACCTACTCTGCGATTTGTATGTTTGTCCGGTCGTAGTGCTCCTCCAGCTTGGTCAGCGGCTTGTGTTTCCTGCTGAAGATGCCGCACTCATCGTGGTCATCGCCGAAGACATCCAGCTTCGGGGGGGACGGCTGGGGCCTCCGCATCGACTGACACACACACAGGCACACACACACACACACACACACACACAGACAGACGACAGACAGACAGACAGAGAAACAGGGAGAGAGAGAGATGCACACACGCGGATCACCCGCCATTCTTCGCACACACACTGACCTCGGCGGCGCCGCCCCACTCGCCCCCAGCCAAAGCCATCCGCACCTTCTCCTCCTCAGCCCGCCGCCTGCATCCACACCACCACATGAACCACATTAACGCACCACTTCGTCCACAACGCCCTCCTTCATGCGGTGAGGTCACCTCTCCTCCTCTTCGGCCCGCTGTCTCTCGGCGAGCGCCTCGACCTCCTGAATCCGCCGTCGCTCCATCTCCCGGTGCCGCTGAGCCTCCTTCTCCCTCTCGATCTGGGCCAGCATCTCACGCTCATCCTCCAGCTCCTTCTCACGCTGACGGCGGGCCTGCTCGGCGGCCTCGGCGGCCTGCATGCAGGGCAGGGGGCGATGGACACACAGACACAGACAGACAGACAGAGAGGGAGAGAGAGGAGAGAGGGGGGAGATTGATGGTGGGGTGTGTGTGTCTGTGTGTATGTGTGTGGTGGTGTGGAGGCGCACCGCAATTCTCTGTATCTCGATCTCCTCTGCCTCCTCGTTGCGATCGATGTCGTCGGCCTCTCTGCCATCACACACACACACACACACATAGATATGTGGGGGGCAACGTTCTTTCTCATCTCGCTCACCTTTCGAGCGCCCGTTTGTGGCGCTTCTCCTGCCGTTTCCTCTTGGACCACTGCTCGTCATCTGCACACACAACACACAACCATCCCTCAGTCAGTGTGCAGTGCACTCTGTATGTCTGGACGAGCGGGGCACTGACTGACCGTCGAGGTCCTTCTCGATGAGTCGCCTCTTATCGCGTTCGTGCTTCTCTCTGTTAGATTCCTCCTCTGCAGCGCGCTTCTTCTCACGGTGGCGCCGCTCCTCCTCTCTGTCCCACTCACGCTCTTTGCGGGCATAGTCCCTGCATCCAGAGTGGGTGGGTGTGGGTGTCTGGATCTCTCTCTCTCTCTCTATCCCTCTTGAGTGTGTGCGCGTGTGTGGTTTACTTACTTGTCGAGAGTGATTTGCCGTTCCTTCCTGGCGTTTTCCCGCGCCTTCTCGCGAGGGTTGACGACATAGTGTGTCGTGACGCCCTTCCACGCCTCCTGCTTGGGGCGGCCGGGGGGACGCCTGCGCGACACACACCCACACAGATGGATGGACATCAGTCTCTCTCCTCTCCCCCTCAGTTCGTGTGTGTGTGTGTAGGGTTTACGTGATCTCTCTCTCGCGAGTCTTGGACCGTCGCTCCTTCTCTGCTGCTTCGGCCTAATACCACCACATACACACAGGGAGGGAGGGAGGGAGAGTGGTGTTCCTGTGCGCTCGCTGCACGCCCCTCTTTTTGCCTTTTTCCCTCACCGCTGCCTCATTCTCGAATTCTTTGTTCTTGTCAGCGATCATCTGGGTGATGGCCTCCTTGACGCGGGCCTCCTCTGCGGCGAGCTCCTCCTCGACCGCCTTCTCGGCGTCGGCCGCCGACATGCCCGCCTCACCAACAGTGCCCTCCTCACCCTCGCCCTTACCCTCACCACCTTCGCCCTCTTTCCCCTCCTTCTCCTGCTGCTTCTGATGGGTGAATCGGTGAAGGATGGACACACACAGACAGGGACACACACACACACAGAGAGAGAGAGGGAGAGAATGAAGGAGGAGCAGATACCTCGCTGTCTGTCTGTCTATCTGTCTGTCTGTGTGGGTGTATGGGTGTGTGGGTGTGTGGGTCTCTTTCCACCTTTGCTTTGAGTTCTCTGAGGTGGTTGACCCGCCAGTTCTCCACGTAGTCCGTCACCTTCTGCTCGGTCTTGACCTGACACACCAGCCACACAAACACAGCCATCCGTCCATTCCATCCATCTCTCCAACACACGCCCCGCACCTGCAGCTGTTTCTCGCCGAGTGTCTGGTCGTTGAGAAGCTTGACAGCCCGCAGCACCCCCTGAGGCGACTCGAACTCGCAAAACCCAAACACCGCCAGCTTTTGTGTCGTCGGGTCTTTGGTGCGCTTCCACGACATCACGCGGCCACACTCCTACACACACACACACGGAGAGAGAGATAGAGAGAGATGATCTGTGCTGTGCCGCCGTGTGTGTCTGGGTGGCTGCGTCTGTGTACTGTGAGCAGTTGCCTCATGAAGTCGTCATCGACGTTAGGCGGAATGCGGCCCACATAGACTGTCGTGAGGGAGCTCTCCCGCACACGGGAAACTGCATGGACACACAGACACATAGGCATGAGTCTGTCTGTGCGTCTGTGCTGTGTGTCCGGTACGGTCACTTCACTTACGGAGGGTGGGTGGCGGTGCCCCTGTGCTGTATGTGCGGGCAGGTGGGATGGCCTGACATGACACACCCAGGCAGGCAGGCATTGACAGCAAGGAATGTCTGTTCCTTGTTCACTCACCGTCGGCGCCATCATCGGCATCGCAAACGGCGCCATCCCTCCACACACACAAACACAAACACGGAGAGAGAGAGGTAACCATTGTCAGTCAGCGTGTGTGTGCTTAGCTCAGTCGGTCAGGTGATCCTCACTCCCTCACCCATGGGCATGCCGGTCATCGGGAAGACGCCCGGCATCATGCCTGGCGGGGGATAACCGCCCTGCATCGGACGGATCTCTTCACTCACTCACTGATATGATATGGGATGGATGGATCTACACAACAGTCCTCATACACGCCTCATCAGCACAAAAACACCGCGCCATTTTTGCAAGCTCGGAATCCGACACTTTTGAGCTCGCAAGAGAAAGAAACGGGAGATGGCAGTGAATCAGATGCTGTCTCAGGTAGAAGGCACCGAATCAAAACAAAAGCGCACACTGATCCGTGCGCACTCACCGGTTGGCTGCTTGGTTTCTTGTGTTGCTTGTGTGGTTTGTCTGGTGTGTGCAGGTCGGATTGAATATGACCTATCCTTCTGATGAGGCTGTAGTTGGATTGTCTTGTGCTCTGCTTAGATCATACGGTGGCGATGCTCTGAAGACGCTCAGAGAGGGTAAGGTGGCAGCGAAAGAGGCAGCTGAAGCGTTGAAATGCTTCAGTCAGCTGCTGGTTGGTGTTTTGTTTGTGGTGGCTGCAGATCTCCCACAGTGCCCCGTTGGCTCGCTGACGACGACGGCCACATAGCCACGCCATTGTTTCATTTGGTCCGCTGGTGGCCATTGCTGACGGTCAGTGGCTCGTCTGACGACTTCCTCGTCTGATGGATGCTTGTGTACCCCCCGCTGTCCACGCTGCTGTGTGTGTGCCGGCAGCCGTCTGGTGTTGGGCTGCTGACAGAGATTCGTTGATAGCCAAGTGTTTTGAGGTGAGCACACACACGCACACTAATTTCGGAAGCACTGATTGCCACTTTGTGTGTGTCATTGATTCAGATCAGTTGACTGACTGATGGCGTCCTCTGCCCACCCTCCCCCTCCCAATGGCCACACCGCCCCGCCGGCAGTCCCGCTTCTGCGCAGCATCGCCATCAGCAAGGCGGCTGAAATGGCCATGTCCACTGATCCCAACAGACGCGCCGCTCTCCGCTCACAGATCAGCGGCAGCCATCCCGATGATGTCGACACGATGCTCTGTGAGGTGAGGCGCCGCGTGCATGAGCAGATCAGTCGTCTAGGGCTGGCGGACGTGTTGGCGTTCGACGTTGGCGGTGATGTGGAGGCCGGTTTGAAGGTGATCTATGTGCTGGTGGCGAGGAGTGGCGGGCGATGGGGCGGTTCCTTCGGATGGCCTTCATCTACCGGCTGACCCCCAATGCGACGCGTCCTCTCCGTCTGTCGGCTGACTCGCTGCCCACAGCCACGGCCTTCCACCAGCTGCCACTCGCCATGGCCATCTACAAGACCTTCGGCCACCAACTCACACACACAGGGGTCAGTCTGGCACTGCAGCAATCCGACGACGGACTCTATCGGATCGGCAATGAGTTGTTTCGTGTGGTGCCGTTGGGTGAGCTGCCGGGCGCCCATCGCTACGCTGACGGCTACAAGAGGACCGATCCCGTCATCCGCACGAGCGCCAATCTCTATCACTCATTCTAGGCATTTCTACTTCACGCGCTTCTCAGCTGGTCACATGAAGAGGGAGTGGGTCACAGGAGGGTGCTCGCAGCAAATATCGGCCGTGACAACCGGCGGTATGGCCGTCTGCTGAGGACCGACGCCATCACAGAGGATCAGGGGATCGCTGTCGACTTCCGCTTCGACCGGGGCAATCGGTATGCTGCGAATGCGGAAGACTGTCACCATGTGATTGTCAGCGGCTTCCGACCCAACGAGAGTGTCGTTGCCTATATCTCGGTGGAGGACGGTGACATCGACCTGTGGACGACCGAGGCACCAACTGCTGTTCCACCTGCATCGCTCACCGACCGCTTCCCCACTTCGGAGCCCCTGTGGCGTTGTGTGCTGCGGCGATTCGAGCTGGAGAGCGACGTCATCGACAGGAGGCGGGTGGTGGGGTGAGGGGACGGAGCATAGGGTGCTGGTGGTGCGTTTAATGTGCTGTGTGTGTCGACGAGCAGTGGTGGAAGGAAAATGATTGTATTTCGACATGGGGCACTTCCACCACTGGGTGCACATGTGCCGTGGATGGGTAGACGGACGGCTCACGACCGCCTGACCGTCAGACTTATAGTCAGACTCACTCACTTGACTGCATGGCTTTACTCTCATGAGTGAATGACTAAAGCCGCGAAGATCGATGCACATCAGTCGATCCAGTCACAGGAAGTTTTTCTCTTCCATCTGGTTGGCTGTGAAGAGAGAAGTGTAATTAATGTTGATCAAGGCCTGACGGACAGACAGAGGCTTATCGATGGTTGTGGTGTGTGTGTCTGTCGTCACACGTGTGTGTGTGAGTGCGAGCGGCTTAGTTGATGTGTTGATCTGTGTGCGTCTGGCCGACATATGGACCCATCAGCCAGCAGAACCACTCACCGTCCTTCATTTTGCCCATCAACTGATACGGGGCTCATTCACTCAGGTGTGCCATCAACACAGACACACGTCAGTCACCTTATTCAATGCCTCACTCACCAGACAGACATTCGCAGGATGCAGCCAAGGGAACGAACACAGAGGCCCATGCAAACAGACGGGCAGAGAGAAAAAAACCGTTGCGTGTCTGTCTGTCTGTCCTTAGAAACGACGACCAAAGTCTGTGGACTGACCCTCCCGCACACCACCAGTAATGCATCCCTCTATCACGGACAATCGACACGCTTACGGCAAAGCCCCCTATCACATCACAGTGCATCTCCTCGTGTTGGCCGTCGCTTGCCTGTCCTCATTCTCCCTCCGCCACACCATGCCCCCCAGGTACTCTCCCATCACTCTCATCACGGCAGTGCACGTCTGATCGTGGGGGGCCGGCTCGGTTGAGTAGATGAAGACATCACGAGGACTCTGCTGGAAGGTCAGCTGAATGACCGCCATATGCTCGTCCCCCACCACCTCGCTGCCAAACACCACCAGGCGCTAATGCCCCTCCCCGGAAGACCACGGCCACTTCCTGTCGAACACCCCCGCCCCCTTCTGTGCCACTTTGCTGGGAGGGGCCGCCAGCAGCTCACACACACGCCGGGATGCAGCAGAAGCAGAACGGTAAGACAATCAGTCTCTGATGGGACGAATGCGGGCGCAGCCGACGAGCCAGCTGACGAGTGAGGGTTTTTGTGCGGCGTAGCGACGGACGCCCGCCCGTGTGTGTTGATAGTGAGGTCTCCTGCATGCGTGTGTGGCCGTCTGATGTCTCTGCGTGAGCTCGCCCTCTGTCATTGCCTGTCTGTCTGTCTGTCTGGTGTTTGTTCGTTGAACGAGTGGGGGGCTCTGTCTGCCGTGATCTCGAGGGTGTCCGTTGTCAGCAGGGCATCTCAAGTTGGCTGCTGGCTGTCGTCATTCATCTCTGCAGCCGATTCGTTTCTTCCTCACGATTGATACATCGCCGAACCCTCTCTCTCCCTTTGTAAGTTAGATGTCGCGTGGCGCCTGTCGACAGCATATATGTCAGAAAGAGGTGGCTTCCACGTGCAGGCACACACCGATTGTCCACACGTGTGGACAGAGCTGGCATCCGACAGCAATGTTGCCAGGAGGTAAATTTCCGTTTTGGCGAGAATTTGAGACGGAGACGGCTTTCGCGAAAATGGCGTTCTCTCTGTTCTTCGCTTCGGCTGAGTCAGCTCACGGCAGAAAGCTCTCTTTTCTCTCTGCTGGTTGCGTCATCTCTTCGCAAAGTCTCTGTCGCATCGCTTCCGCCTCATCGAGTTGTCCCTCTTGCCTGCGGAGATGGCTCATCCGGCGGCGGCGGCGGCAGCGCCGCAAGTTCCGGCCTTCATCGTCCACAACTTCAATACTATTCGTCATTTGGGAGCGGGCGGGTACGGAGTGACCTGGCAAGCGTGTGCCAATGCAGAGGGGGCGGCACCAGACATCGATGGCGACGAGGACCTCCAGGGCGTACCCAGAGGACCCGAACTCGTCGTCAAGATGGTAAGCATGCAATCCATTGGGCAATCCGTGGGCGAGCGGCACGGAGCCTCAGTGGGAGCGCTGGACCGACCGGTGGCGATGCGAACTTCTGGCAGACCTTCCTCCTCCGATACGGTGCCAAGAGCGGCCGCCTCCGCGCGGCTGTGGCCTCGCTCGTCTCTACCCTGGCCAACACCATCGTCCCATGGGACAACATCAAGGCCCTGCGAGCGTGCCGCCTCATCGCTGTCGACAAATGCCCTGGCGTCCGCCCCATTGGCGTAGGGGAGGTGCTCTCTCGCCTGGCTGGC